ATAGAAGAAACAAACACAGGACACAGAAATAATAGAGACAAGAGTAAAGTCTGATATAAAACACACAGACACATATCCAGATGAAGATGTAGACACAGACACAGACACAGACGTAGCTACAAACATACGACTGTCTGTCCTAGAGAGTCTGCCGGTCTTGAGTGGAGACTTTGCATGCTTGTGTCTTCTGTCCACTCCACGGTCAACACTACCCTGAGGACACCAGACAACAACCTGTCACAAACTGCCATTCTCACTAGGGCCTTTTGTGTCTTGAGCCAGGACATGACAAATCAAATGTTTGATAACACATTCCCTGAAGTGAGGGGATGAAAATGTTGTATGATATATTGACTGATACACTGGATGAAATTTAAAAACCATAAAATTGTTATGAAATATTAGACGATATGTTGGAAAAAATATTGGATGAAATATTAAACGAAATATTAGACGAAATATCGGATCAATGAATACAAGGTTGGAATAAAAAATTGGGCGAAACGTAGATTGAGAAATATATTATTGTGTGAAATGTTGGATGAAATATTGGGTAAAATATTAGATAAAATGGATAAGATGTTGGATGAAATATTCAATGAAAAGAAGGATGAAATGCTGAAAGAAGCACTGAATGAAATGTTGGAAGAAATATTGGATAAAATGTGGGATGAAATATTGGTTTGATAAAATATTCAATAAAATAAGACAAGGAATATTGAATGGAATGTCATATGAAATAAAATTATAAAATATAGGAAGATACCAGACAAAATGTTGAAGGAAATTTAGGATAACAAGTTGGGTGAAGCGTTGAAAAACATGCTGTATGAACTGTTGAATGAAATGTCACATGAAACGTTGGATGAAATATTGGATGAAATATTAGATGAAATATTGGATGAAATAGTGGATGAAATATTGGACAAAATGTTGGATGAAATGCTAAATGAAGTTTTGGTTAAAATATTGAATGAAATGTTAGATTAACTATTGTACGAAAGGCTGTTCTATGATGAAATTAGCAATGAAATGGTCTTTTGGGTTTAAAATGTACCACAGAACACTGACGAGTAGCATATCAACATACAACACAGAGCTATATCTCAACTACTTAGTATAAGACTCCGCCATATGCAAAAGATCTTGTCAGTATGTTCGTGTTTTAGCGCCTATAAATGGCTGCTTGCACTGTATGCTTCCCAGGAAGTTGAGGCTGTTTCAGAAAGCTCTCAGGTCTGCTGGGGTAATAATATAGATCTAGATTGTGAAGCGCATAGAGCTTGCTGTTGAGCGCGGACTTGCGCTATACAAATGCTATCTATTATTATATGCCATTTTGAGCGGGTGGTGGAAGAGCGCCACGGGCAGGTCCTACATCTTTACTTTCCCTCTGTTGTTTCTGCCAGTCAGTCTTACTTTTTCCGAGCAAAAAAATGAGCGATATTGTGTGCATGTGCTTCTCTTTACTGAAACAAACAAACAAATAAAGCCATTTTGAAAAGCAACATAAGATAGTCTTATCCTGAGCAGTTGATCTGAAACAACACAGAGCCCAGTCCTGTGTCAACACACACACAACTCACAAGTCAGCTATGAACCACAACAATACACATATGTGAGGCAGCATGGTGAAATCAGACGCTCGTCAAAATAATGAAAAATTGAGAAACTGGCATTTTTCCGCCAGTTCGGACATATGTAAAGAATTTTTATTTTTTGGCTTAACCCTTTTTATGTCCATATAAAAACAGATTTCCATGTGAATTTTATTGAAAAACATTGCTTAAAGACACAAAATATGTCATTTTTCAGTGGTCAAGGACTCTTTAGCTATTGGAGTTACCAAACTTTGGAGGACATTTTCTCGCTAATTTCACATCTGAAACTAGCAGGCGACCTCACCTCCTTCAATCGCAATTATCTTGACTTCTATTCCATATAATTGGATATTTATTTCATTGCAAGCAAGTCAAATGAACCCACTTTCAGATGATACCAATAACTCCACATGCCCCAAAATTGACGAGTGCCTGATTCCACCACGTCGTGACACATATGTACTGACCGCTCGGCCACGGGTCATCTGGTAGTCAAGCGTGTGGATACAGGCCACGTAGTGTCTCTTCCAGGCGCCGTACTCGTTGTCAGCCGGCGTGTAGGGCAGGAACCAGCCCAGCCGCACACACTTAGGCATCCATACTGCTTCCTGAGGGGTAGAAGAAGGATAAAAGATTTTCTTTTTTTTTTTTACAGATTTTTACGGCACTTGCAGTAGAATCGGGTCATACAGGAGCCGAAGATTAGTGGTGTTGCTAGAGTGTAACATACAAACAAAAGAAGGAGAGATAAAGACTATAGACGTCTGATGGTGATAGGAAAACAGAAGCAAACCACACCAGAGCACTGGCCAACCATCCACCTTGAGGAAAAAGGGGAGGATGGGGTTGGGAGGAGTGGAAAGGGGGGGGGGGTAAGTAGGTGGGCAGGGTGGGTGCGGTGAGAAGGGGGAGGGTGGGGAATGGGTGATGGAGGATGGAGGGGGTGGGGAGTGGTTTAATTTTTAATTTTTTTTTTATTTTTAAGAACAGCACAAGTATCCATGTTTAGGCTTTGAGGCAAACTGTTGGTATGAAGATGCTGTTAATAACAAATAAGTTGACACTTTGTTTCCATTGTGACATAGCGATATGAAAGTAATGGTGCCAGTTGTAAGTCACAGCATTGTTGTTCTTTACATCTTGACTTGGGTGAACACCCTATACCCAGCTATTTGAATTCTCTTACTTGCTCGATTCTGCTGTTGATGGCTATGATGTTCAATATACCGATCACAAATGTGATATCATATGCCATAACAGCTATCATACTGGTTACAAACAATACCAGTACGATATCACATAATCTCACGACTTAACTCTTTGTATATGGAGGGCTATTCCTCCTTTGTACACAACCATTTGTCATCCAAGTTTTCAGCATCTCAAACATTCCTACAAACTCTGCTCCAATTTAAGCTATTTACATAAAATGAACACCAAACTGAGAAGAAATGAATTATCCCAGCAGTAAATATGCAGTTTGATTATAAATAAGATGAATTTGCTGAAGTCTGGTAGGTTTTTGTTATAACTGTTTGTTCCGTTTGTTTGTTTAAGTAAGGTTTTACGGCACTCGCAACTGCATAAGGTCATATGAGCGCCAAGGGGTGGATGTCAATAGAGAAGTCCAAACACGGAATCAGGCTTACTCTGCTCACCTCTGTAGCCAAAGTCTGCTTCGACTATCAAGGCACCCCGGTGTTATACCTGTACATGTACATAACTGAGCCATGCTGTGAGCCAGCTGAAGTGTCGCGCCTTGCACTAATAGTTAAATAGCAGTTACCAATATCATGTAATGTGATCCAACGATTGACACAAAATGTAATCAGTGCGACCTGACGACTGACCAAGTTAAATAGCTGTTACCAATATTTTAGCGGTTACCAATATCATGTAATGTGACCTAACGATAGACACAAAATGTCATCAGTGCGACCTGACGAATGACAAAGTTAAATAGCGGTTACCAATATCATAGCGGTTACCAATATTATGTAATGTGACCTTACGACTGACACAAAATGTTACCGGTGCATCCTAATGACTGACACAGTAGGTCACCTAACAAACCCACCTGCTCTGTGAGAAACTTCCAGTGCCAGGACACCTGAGCTGCCCGACAGAGACTCTTGGGCTCCAGGAAGGAGAAGATGTAGAGAGACAGGAAGCGAGGTAGGACCACCGTCATGTCCAGGTGCTGCATGGGAACTTTGTCGTTGAAGTATTTCTGGACAAACCTATGGACGGACACGATACACAAACAAGAGTAAACTGATCTCCTCCTGTAGTATAATTTCCTTAAATTTTTCACTATAAAATCTTCCAACCTTCTCCCAACCAACAGCCCCCC